TATAAATAATCAATTATAAATTAATAGTAAAGTATTGTAGGTATGTGAGTTATAAAATGTAACAACAACACAGAGCATCAACAGCCACTAAAGCACTGTATGCACAATAACTGTTAGGGTTCTACATCACTGATGCCTTCCTAATTCTACCTACCATAAACGAGTAAACTTCTTCAAAGTTCCCACTGAAATAAATGTAAAATGGTAAAAATGCCAATTCCAGTGTCATACCAAGACAGACATTTCATAAAAAGACAAGTAATTACACTGCACTTAAAAAAAAACCTTAAAATTTGACATTGTCTCCACTGATTCTGATAAATATAATTTGCAAATTATGTCTGTGAAATTCCTTATGCTTGGCCTCCTTTTCAGAAAAAAGTCAAGATAATACAAGAAACCCATTTTGCATTTCTAATCTCCCTGCTACTAGTATCGGCTACTACCTTACCTAGCTTTTTTTTTTAACCACTAAATAAATTCACTTAAGAAAATCTTAATTATGTTGATAAAATTTTAATCCTTTGACTAAAGGGATGTTTCAAACTGTCAAAATAGTACAAATTGTATCTCAAACCAGTAACATGGATCCAGGAGCAGAGTTGGATTTAAGGAGAACGCCCAATGCAAACAACAATTCCCTTTGGTCCACAGTCCGCAACTGGATCCAATACTTAGAGATTTGGGTTAGTTTGCCTCCCCACTTATAGTTGAAAATGGGACAAGCTGAGTGACTTCTCTTAGGAAACAAATCACAGAGATGGCTCAGTGGTTAAGAGCTGTTTGTATGTTCAGTTCTAGAGGATACGACACCCTCACAAAGATATACAAAACACCAATGCACAGAAAATAAAAATAATTAAAAAAATTCTCCAAGTGGGATACACTCGGCAGCAAACTGGAATATTCAATGACTTAAGTAACTGCAGGAGTACGAAGTGTGAAAGGCAATGCAGAATAGGTCAGCACAGAGATCTGAGGGCACTGGGCTCCCAAAAGTAGAACTCTTATTAGAGCGCCTTTACATTTTTCTTTGAGAACAGGAAGATGTATAAACATCTTTATAGACTTCCTAGCAACTTGATATTCAATAAATATTTGCCTATGTAGCCATAAATTTTCATCTCAGTAGATTCACGAATATTATGGCTCTGGATGTTAGTTAATGCCAGAGTTTGCAGTAATAAAAACCTAACTAAAAAGCCAGTGACTTAGTCTACATCAGAAAAGATGCAGGCAATATATTGTAGTTCAGGTAATACTTTAATTTAGGGAAATGAACTCTGTACAGTGCTGCTTTCCTGTATCCCAGCACTCCGGATGTGGAGGGACGAGGGTTAGCAAACAGAATACAACACAATAACTTGAGAAAATGAATGAACAGGGAAAATTTTAAGATAAATATTTAATAGTGGATATATATTATGTATGAAACATTTCATATTAGCCCTAATAAGCATGATAAATGTTGGTGTGCACCTCTGTCACAGAGTGAAGTAAGTTTTCTAAGTTAAAATTTCAAGTAATAAAAATGGCATCTGGCAGTGGTGTGTCCTCAGTATTGTTTAGATAAAAATACAAAATTTAGAGGTAGTCATGAACTTTTTATAACTTAATTAAATAAGTTCTAAATTGGCTATGCTTCTTCTAAGCCATTTTTTGAAAAGTTGTTTTAACCTAAATATCACAGTGTTCCTATCTGGTTAGTTATCGCAGCAAAACGTAAGTAAATAACAGTAATTCACATTACTGATGCAATTGTCGTGATGAGAAGGTAGTACTTAAGATTAGGCAGGGCAGATGCTCCTGTCAGTACTCCAGAACAGCAGCAGGAACTCAGAATTCCCTCGTTCTATCCTCTCAGTTCAGTGCAGGGGCAGGCTGGTTTTTTTTTTTTTTCCTCAAAATCAACTCTGCTTCCAACATGATTGAGGACTTAAAAATTATGATGATTAAAAAAATGACAGGTATGCCACATGAAAACCAACAACCTTTAAAAAAGTTCCTTTATGCTGGGTCTGACTCCAAGGGTGGGGAGGGTTTGCAGAGGAACTGGGAGAAAGCAGCTGTGTGTTTAAGCAGAGGCAATGGGGAGGTAGGTTAGAGGCTAGTGTGCAACCATGAAACATCCCCAGCATTCCTTTAAACTAGATAGCCTTTGGCAATGGGAAGATGCTGTTCCCATTTCTAGCTCAAACTACCCAAACCAACAACTAGCTCATACTGAAAAAAGTGAATACAAAAAGCCTGTACAGACTCTTTCTTCATCTAACTGACTTATGATTTCACCATAAAATGAGGATAACTTGATTTTCCTTTTAAGGTTGCTGAGAGGATTTAGATAATACTTGTATAGAAATATATATATCTTTCCTTAACAATGCTTCTCTTGGAAGGACAAGCTCATGATGTTCCTTCTACCTACCAATGCCCCAGGAAGACCTGCCACTTCTACATTATAGATCACAGTCTAGAAGAAAGGCCCTATGTGCTTACTATGTATTGATGCAAAGAGTCACCTCGCCATGGGAAAGCTTGGCTCTGTGATAAAAATGTTTCTCCTTTTGTATCAGATGATAATAAAATACCACCTACCTTTCACGTTAATGTGAGTTATAAGGTTGGCTTGAAGAATAAACCCCTCCCCAACAGGGTGCTCGGTTGTGACAAACCAATGATGGTTTAGAGTTCTTAGTCATTACTGTTTGCACAGGATGGGAAGGAACCAACTTAGTCTTATTGTGGCTCAAATGTCTAAATTCATTTGAATTTTGAACTGTCTTAAGTAATAATTTACTAGTTTTCAAGACCTGAAAACAAAGACTGGAGCAAACACAACAAAATTATTCTACTTATACAGAATACCACAGATAAATACATTTCTATTAGTTGAGAAGAAACTCAAGAATGCCTTGAATACTGCTAAGCCTGGTAACAAAATATTGTGATTGAAAATGGGTGTCAGCTCCCCTAGGGAGAAGAGCCGGCTGTACTGCTGAGAATTGAAAATGGGTGTCAGCTCCCCTAGGGAGAAGAGCTGGCTGTAATGCTGAGGTTGTAATGCTGAGGTTGTAATGAAATTGTAACAGTACTGCAAGTTGTTGTCTCCAGCAAAGCAGCCACTTGTTAGTGGGGCCTCCATTTTCTACCTTCTCTTTTAAGCTGATATACAATCTAACACTTAGGAATATTTTCAAAATTCTTGAAAGTTTAAAATTTCATGTATATCTGATGATCAAACTCATTTACACTGACTTAGGGAAAAAGAAAATTTTATGCAGGTCCAATCACACCACTAAAAATGACCTATGTAACAGGAGAAAAATGACCTATGTAACAGTCTCCTCCCATCCCCCAGTATCAGACTTTGCATATTATTTAAAAATGAGACATCTTGCAAAAAAAAAAAAAAAAAGAATGGCACCTTTAATCTTCCTTCTACCCCCTCCCCAAAGAAAAATACTTTAAGCATTGGGATCTCCATATATGGGGGAAAATGAGGTTCAGGAGCTAAAACTCTATACTAAAAATATATGTAAATAACTTGAGCTTATGATACCCCTTTTCAGGATCTGCTCTGGCTCAGCAACATACTGCGTGAACAATAAAGTTGTCTCCTCCAGAGCCATAAAGAATTTTTAAAAATTAAAAAAATAAATCAATCTATGAAGGAGATGAAAAGTGGAAGGAGGCAAGGACGAGGAGTGAGAACAGAGTCTTGAATGACTCTCGGTTTCCTTTCTGACTTTTTTTAAAAACAGAATTCTTCCTCTATTGTTGCCTGAGAACCACTATGGTTTTGCCAAGTCTGTAACAGCAATTATATGTAATCAACCACAAGCACACTTATTTGTCTCAAGCCTATAAATACTGTTAGTGATACCAAACTATTGCCATTGGCTTATCTGTAAAAAGAAAAAATATAGATTTTCATTTTATAAAGTTAACACTGAGAGCACATGAAAGGCGACGAAATGCAGTATACAATGATGGTTTCATGGGACATGGACACCGAAGTGAGGTCTTGAGCAAGCCACCTGGTCAAGCCGTGTCTGAGGAAGAGTCATAAGAGGAGACAATGAAATTGCCGTTGGTGGAGTGGCCAGCCACCGACTGGGCAGCCTGCTGGCTCAAGTTGTTGCAGATGAGCACCAGCTGGTTGCTCTGGGCCTCAGACAAGGTGCTACAGCTCTGGTAGACACTGAAGTTGGTTTTCCTGCCGGGGATGTTGCCCTTCTCGCACATGGTCTTCACCATCTTGGCTAGCTTGTTCTTGCCAAGGGCCTGGCAATTATACCAATGCAGAGCTGCCAAGTTCACAACTGGCTTGATGGACAAGTAGAAGGGGGCATCCTCATAGCGCATCGCAGGAGGTCTCCGCTGGGCATACTCCTTATAGTCCTGCACCGGGCAGGTCTGTGGGGCATGCTGGGTGGCATAAACTCGTGAGTCTGTCCCTCCTCTCTTGGTTTTGGCATTCAGATCACCGGTGTCCTGACCCATCCATTCCAAATACTCGAGTCCAGTTTCTGTGACGCGGAGCCGGATATCGCCCCATTTCAAGGTGGATCCATGGAAGCCTGTGCAGTGCCCAAAGGCTTTTGTATTGTTGAGCCAGACAAGGTTGAGCAGACCCTCGGGGTTATACCTGCTCAGCAGTCCCCTCTTCCGCAATATGAGCTCGTCGGCAAACGTGAGTTTCATGGACTTGTGAGGCTTGTTTCCCTTTCCTTTGCAGCGGAGCTCAATCTGCTTCTGTTTCAGGGCCTCCTGGGACCGCTTGAACTCCTTATCCCTGGTGATGCTGTAGCCGTATCTGTGCTCTTTCAGGTACCGTTCCAGCCCACACTGGTAATTCGCCAAGCTGTTGGGTTCATACTCAGACCCATCCTTCTGCCTGGCATCCACGAAGAAAGAGGCAAGGTAGGCATCTAGCTCCTTGCAAGGGATGACATAGATCTCTCTGGTTTCGGAAGGGTACTTGGAGATGAGGAACTCCCGGAAATTGCGGAGCGCAGTCTGTGTGCTCCGGATGGTTTTCTCGTTCTGCTCCCTGCTGAGCTCAGCTGCTCTTTCATCCTGGTCTGCAACAAACGGGGGGAGGGGAGGGACAGAGAGGGTGTGGATGAGTTCAGACAATGCACTTGCTACTCTGAAATAAAGTTTCCTTTCATAATGAAATGGGAAAGATGGATCAATTTTGAGAGAACAGTGATATAGTATTGAAAGGGTTGTTGCACGATTGAAGCCAAATTCAGTTTCACAAATTTACTGGATAAAATATGGCCCATGACAATGAGAGAGAACTTCTTTTTAAAAATGTTAAATTTGGGAAGTAGAAAAAGACAAGATCTTCTGAGTAAACTGGGAGCACGGGGACCTTGAGAGAGGGTTGAAGGGGAGGGGAAAGGCAGGGAGGGGAGCAGAGAAAAATGTAGAGCTTAATAAAAATCAATAAAAAATATAAAAAATGTTAAATTGTGTTATTATTGTGGTATTGTGTGTGTGAGTATAGGTGCAAATCCTTCCATCTTTACACAGCTCCAGGAATTGAACTCAGGGTCTCAGGCTTACATTGCAAACACTTTTATCCTCTGGAGACACCTTGCTAGCTCTGAGTCCTGGCACAGAGCTTAGTGAGTGAAGGTCTGTGGAAAGGGTGATACTGAAGGTCATCTTTTTGTTTGAGGAAAAACGTTTGAGGGGCAGAAATGTATTATTCGTCCTATGTCGCATGGAAGGGGTCCTCTCTCCAGCTGGTAAAATCACTTCATTTGTGAAACTGGAAGTGGCTGCATTTGTCACTCTAACACACCACTGGGAGTCTATTTAGAGAGGATTAAATACATTTGATGGCAGTTCATTTCATTCCTTTTCTATAGGAATTCAGGTCAATGCAATTTATAAGTATTCTTTATGGATAACAAAACAGTTTGTAAGCAATTAAGTGATCAGAATCAATCTGGTATTTTAAAGGAAAACCAGGACTACTAAAGTTCATGGTAACAAGCGGATAATTAAATATGAACTTTATAACTGAGGTGAAAGGGCTTATCTTGATTCAGTTTGTTTTCTTGATTTATTATGTACCTTCTGCGTGACGGACTTGCAGTATAAGCTCTGCGTCATCCATTAAGCAGTACTGCTCCAAGGCAGCAGGCCGCACACTTACTAAATATAGGCGACCTGTCTGTAAGCCTATGTCTGCATTTGAACCAGTACTCTATGCTCAAGATGAGACCCAAAAGCATTCCCAGGTAAACAAAGTTCTAGTGACTCAGGCCTGTAATTCCTACTCCTTAGGAAGATCCTCAGGAGGCAGGGGGGTCTCAGGTTCAAAGCCTATCTTGACTCAGAAAAGTCAAATTCTATGCCTGTGTCCATTGAAAAAGAGGTTAAGAAACACTAAGTAGTTTCATTTCAGTAACATTTAGTTTAACTTAACATTACTAATAAAAAATACTTGGTTTAAAAAACACCCACTCTGCATGTCTGATGTGGTCTGGACAAACTCAGAAACCCAAAAGAGAATTATACAACAGAATAGCAGCCTACCTACTGCTATGCAGTGAAGTCAGTTTTCCTATTGATTTTTAAGAGGAAAACATGGAAGTTAATTTAAAACAACAAAAAATACAACTTAAGTCTCTTGGGTATAAGGCAATAGCATTTTGTTTACTGAAAATATCTATATAGAAAAAAATTTCAGATTAATTTATATGACTGCTCAGTGGAAGTCTTCGTAATTACTATACCCAATAATGTAAAGTATTTAATATACTGGAGTTTATTCATAAAACAAACTACCTTTTAAATAAAGCATTACCATATATTACTGTGTATCTATCTATAAATAACCATGTTAGTTTCAAGTGAGAATTCTAGGACAGATTTTCAAATTCCATTATGTACACAGTAACGATGGAGAGGTGACATCTCCAAAATTCAAGTACACAAACAGACTTTATGCTTCAATAGTTTAACTTTCACTTGCCTCTTTTTGTAGTTGAAATTGATTATATTAACAATAAAGACTACCTTCTGTTTCCATTAAAAACAAAGAAGCAGGGGTTGAGTGTGACCTCTCACCCTTAACTGTTTACATGTAAGCCAGAGGCCAGCACAGTTTAATTTGGCTGCTTATGCAAATATATAAAAGCACTCTTCAAACTTCAAAGGTTTTCCAGGAAATGAAAGTTCATAGGCAACTTTGGGGAAAAAGAGTTTCAAACTCTCATTGCTCACATGAGCTCTTAGACAGAGTCTGTGTATCCTGAAACCTGAAATTCACTACAGTACCTCTTTGGAGGTGTAATTTATCATCAGTGATCAAATCCTAGCACTTCTTTTTAAAAATCCTAACAGAGGAGATCTGCCATTAGAAACTATCTTAGGAGTGTGATCCAAGGTGCTACAAACTAGGATTTCCCAAGGGGATGTCAGATAAGGGCAATTGAATCTTTAAGCTGGAATATTCTACAGGGTTAACAAAACACTCCAGATAAGATAGTCAATAACTACCAACAGACCCCACCATGAGGTATCAGCTCGACTTAGTCATACTTGTTTTCAGTTTGTAAAATATTCAGTATTTTTAACTCCTTTTACAAAAATAAATTGAAATTTGATTTGAAAACCTTTGAGTGTCAATTTAAAAATGAGTTATGATTTCAGGGTATGTGAGCAAAATGTCCAGGTGCACCGGCTTCCGTGAGGCAGACTAATACAGTGAAGCTGTGAGAATGACTGTGACATGCAGTCATCACAGGACATGGCTCCCTGACCAGGTGGCCAGCTCTCCTCAGCCTCATCTTGTGTGCAAGGCTTTCCCTCTTTTTTTTTTTTTTTTGGCTGAGTCTCAAGTTTAGTTAAGAAACAGGAGTTGCATCTGCTAGAAAGCAGCCCAAGCGAGCTGCTGCATGGCCTCTGTCCTGTTCTAGCAGCTTGGAATGCACCACAGGAGGCAGCTGGAAGGGAAGACAACCTCATTTACTTTGCATGAATAAGGGCAAAGAAACATTTTTTCAAAAGCAGTACAAGTAATAAGGTCTCAACTAATAACAAAATCAAGTAAGAACAGAGAAAAATCAATAGAAAATACAAATGAACTACAAGTATCATGCATTTGTCTACAGAAAAGTTCCTTTTAAAACTTTTTATTAGGTATAACATACACAGAATATAGTTATGAAGTGCACACAGTTTTGACGGAGGGTATTCACCTGTGAATCTAGTAACCATATCAGAAGGATTCCTTCTTCCATCACCCCCTACCATCAAGAAAACTGCTCTCCTGACTTGAAAAAAAGTTTGGCTGGCCTATTACTATGCCCATGGATGAATCTTGGGATTGGCTTTTTTTTCTTAGCTTCACCTACTGTTGTGCATTTGCAGGTACTTCATCCTCACGGCAGTGTGGTGTTCCATTATACACGAATTCAGCATTTCAATAAGCATAAACCCCAAAGGCTGAGAAAGTTAACAAAGCAAAGAATGTCACCCAAAAGCATACAGACACAAATGATTTTCTTCTAATCAGAGCAAGTATTTGGCTTTTTTATTTTTGTGTACTTGTTCACATGTACAATCTATGCAGGTATGTGTACAGAGGACTTGGGATAGGCCAGATTCTTCAGCTGCTCCCCACATTATACTTGTGTGTGATGCATATGAGTGTGAGTGCACATGCAGGGGTCAGAGGACAACCTTGAGTTGAGACAATTTACCACTGCATGTAGCCGGACTGCAAACAGCTGGGAATTCTTCTCCCATTTCACTGCAGAAGGACTGGGATTTTATATGAACATCACACCTAGATTTAGTTCCAGGGATTCAAATTCAGGTTTTCATTCTTATATCCTTTATCCATTCAGCCATCTCTCCAGTTCTTCCACTTAATTTTTTGAGACAGCCCCTCACTGAACTTAGAACTCACCAACTTGCTAGCCGGGCTACCCTTATCCCAGGGATCCTTTTGTCTCTGCCTCCCCAGGAATGGGATTATAAACACACAATGCTACACAGAACTTTATATATTCATGTTGGGAATCTGAGCTCAGGCCCTCACGTTTGCATGGAAAGAACTTTGCCAACTAAGTCATATCCCCAGTTCCTAAATCAGTGGTTCCCCACCTTCCTAATGCTGTACCCCTTTAATACAGTTCCTTATGTTCTGGTGACCCCCAATCATAAATTTCATTACTACTTATTAATTGTGATTTTGCTACTGTTATGAATCATTATCTAAGTATCTGATATGCAGGATATCTGATATGTGACAGGCTGAGAACCACTGGCCTAAATCAAGCATTTGAATCACATAAATAAATGAGCAGGGATGAAAATAACGTCTCCTACACCTTCCACGAGCCCAACAGGCTCATCAATAGATGTGTACTGAGACCTAGCATGTAACTTAGAACCTAAGAATCCACCCTACAAAGCTTCATCTTCCACTCAGACAGTGCCGCCCCCCTTGCTTGGGCAGCAGCCTGAAACCTCAGCACTTTCTCCCTCTTTATCTACAGCTGAGCTGGGCCACCTCACTTTCACACCAAGTGGCACGTCAGAACGAAGTGGGCTGGTCTGCAAGCATAATATACACAGCTCTTGCTTTGTGGATTTACCATCTAGTGAGAGGACAGTAACAAATCTTTGGTATACTAGCCCTAGTGCTGTGAGGAACCCACCATTTTCAACAAATGTAGTCAGTTGTCCAGAATACTTCGCAGCTCCCCACAGCCAGAGTAGGGCGTTGACACCCTTTTCATGCTCCATTAATCCAATTATCCCTCTCTTGTTAGGAGATGACATGGAAGCATACATAATTAGTTCTCATTTCATTTGAGGAGATCTATATTAGATTTAAATCCAGACACATTCCCTCTGTTGCTGCTGTAACCAATTTAAAACAAGCACAAACTTAGCTATGGCATCCTTGTATGCTGTTATTAAAGCAATATATCTGCAGCAATAGTCAACAATTCTTCATGTTTAGCTTCTCTTTTATTATTTTCATGTAAAACAAAAGTATTTTGTCTCATTTTTCACTTAGAAATGTTCTACTTCTTTATAAACTAGTGAA